AATGAAGTTATTGGAAGTATTTGTTGCTCTGATTTAAAATCGTAATTAAATGTACTAAACTTATTGTAAACAGATATGTATTATAATTATTGTATAAAATGAAGTTTATATTTAATTTTTTTTTCGAATTGTTACTCGATTTTGATGCTAAATATTGTGTAAAACTGATGAAGTTTTGACGACGATCATAATTGAAGTAATGTCTGGTAACATTGAACGGTTCAAAGTTAACCATATCATAAACTATGTTGTTTTGGATAACTTTGAATAGGTACATATGTTGCTCAATTTTGATTAAAATTTTCGCTTTTTACAACTAAGATATGTCCCCAAAAAATCAAGCAATGGCAGAAGATATGATCCAAAAACACTTTTTAGGAGATTGGTTTTGCTCCTCTAAAGCTGACATATATAAAATTGGTAAGGCCAATATTGTGTTTGAAAAGAGCAACAGTTATCCAAAAAAGGCGGCCAACTTTTTATTCGTGCAATGGGGTGAATGACTTTGTTTAAAAAAAATTGTTTAAGAAAATGTTACTTGCAATTACGATCATTCGATAGTCAAATAAACGTACAATTTATTATGTTACACACGACTTTACTAATTTATCTTGATGTAATAAATAATTACAAAAAATCACGATCTTTTTTTCCACCATTTGGTCCACTTTGATTCATATGTGAAAACCAAATTATCTATCATAATATTTAAACGTCACCGTTTTGCTTGCGTTTTGCTTTTTTAAATAAAAATACTTCATATAATTTTACTCAAAATTTAAAATATTGGATTAATATATGTTTTAACATACTAAAAAATTTGGATTCGAAGTTAACCAAAAGTCACGATAACTTTGAATGTTACTTTAGGAGGAATTTCGAGGTACTTCTGTTGTTCTTCCCATAAATTTATTGTGATGGAAAAATAAACTTACTCAAAAGAATACTATTTACTCAATAATATAAACGTGTATAAATATAAATCAGAATGTAATATCACAAATATTGTAAAAAATGTTCACAGTTACCCAAATCGACTGTAATTTGCCTTTATTAAAAGTGGTGTTAATATTTTATTATTACAAATTATGGAGTGTAGAGGTAAGGAGAACAATCTCTTATAGGAGAATAGTTGAAAAAGTGTCCATCTAAAACAATAAATAACATTTCAAAATCTCTCCACAACAATTTTGGAATAGCTACGGGAAAAAGCTACATGAAATGAACTTAGCAGTTGTCGACGGTGTGAAGTGTGCTGCTAAACTGTAGTAGCTCTAAAATCTAAAATAATTTTATTTAGTAAATATAAGCTCGAATAAGTCGTCTATACCATTAATATTTTTCGGCGCGTTCTTTAAAATTTACCACGTAGCCATAGTGGCGCCACCCTTATTTAACGGTTTTCTATGGACACTTTTTAATACACAATCTGCACTCTTTTACATTCCATATTACAAATAAATACAACACTAATAGCGGAATAATGTTGTTTTGACTTAACTGTCAACTTTCATGAGTTTATTGATGCATTTATTGATGGCTTTTTGAAATCTGAACATAGATAAGAGAGTATATACGGAAATAGATATGAATCTCTAACGTTAAAATTTGCCGCGACAGCAGCGCCGCCTGGAAGCTAGTTTATTAACTACTACTTCAGCTATACATAACTATTGATATTATGATGTATATATATATATATATATATATATATATATATATATATATATATATATATATATATATATATATATAATTTATATTTTATGTTAACATATTTTTTATTTCACAATTTTAAACAAGATGATATTTTGAAAAGAATTTAACACCAAAACGTGAGATGTTATAAAATTCCATGTTGTCGGCACATAACGTAGAAAGTAACTCACTATAAACCATCATAAAAATTACAGGGTTGAAATTTACATATTTTATAATTCTTTTATTATATTTAGCACTGCACCAATTAGAAAATCTACCAAAATCTAAAGCACATTCTTAAGCCCTCTGTTTTGTCCTATACACAAGTCACAAGCAATTACGATAAAACACTCAAAAATACGAAATAACAAGAAATAAGCACATGCACAATCCAGCGGACATATTTCTTTAAAAATATTCAATTTGATTCAGTGTTGCCTAATGAAACAAATTTTAAATTTCTATTTTTTACTATTACTCCTCATCGTATAAACCTCATGTATGTAGCAAATATAAACTAACTGGAATTTAGAACTATGAAGGGATTTTTTATTATTTATTATTTTGAAAGACTATGTTTTTCTTCACCGCCGCGACGATATAGTCCTTATGGCAGAATCGCTGGATGACCTAAGCACTATGCTCAAGAACCTCAAAATATAGATGATATTTTTAATGTAGTTAATAAATACAACAACATATAAAAATAACTTGCTTAATAGAATATGATATCCTTTTTAGTATTTCCTTTATACCTTTCTTTAGAATTATTATCAATAATGCTTAATCTTTTATGGCGGCCACACTATATTGATTGATTTACATAAAATAGCTAAAAATGCAAGATTTGCTTTTATAATGTAACTAACTATTATTAATGTTACAATTATTTCTCAGGAATTACCAAACAAGAAATACTAATTAAAAAATTTTTGTTTGTTCGTTAGACAATAAACTAGGCTCAGTAATCACATTCACACTAATCAAACTATAATAAATGCAAAAGTTTGAATATTTGTTATCCGGCCAAAGTATACACTAGCTTTTGGGTTCTCAGGAAAAAAACGAGGTGCGACGAGATATTTCTGTGTTAATCACGCGTCGGATCGCCACGATGCTATTGTTGCACCAAACGACACAAAATGTAGCTTTTTCCAAGAGTTGTATTTTTGCATCGCTATTGGACTCCGTTACATCAATCTTGAGTATAGTCGTCTAAAGATGGCCCGGTGTTCATTAGTACAATCTATGTATATGTTACTGTTTCAACACAAGTCGCATTCGCAGAAGTAGCGCTATTATAAGTCTAAATTAGCACGTATGTTGGTATGGTTAAGGCCTGATAGTGACGTCATTAATGGCGACATGTTAGGGATACGCCAGCGCTATGCTGGCATGCCAGGCTGTTCTCAAATATCGACCATAATTCCACACCTGTAGTGTTAAGGTTCATTCGTTTTTACACCCAATCTCACGCTGATAGCTAAAGAGTAAGAAGTTCTGACTAAGAAGTTTTATATTCAAAATGGCAGTGCATCCAAGCAGTAGTTCTACTCCCACTCTATAGGGGTTCCACAGTTATCTAATGGGATTTTCTGAATTAGAATACAAAACGACTCATCCCAATGTCTCAGGGAAGTTGGTTTTACGGAAAGAACCTGATCCGGCCTGGTCTTATAGCAAGAGGCATCTTAGGCCACAGCCAGCCAGCCGAGATATTTCTGTGTACATCACGCGTCGGATCGCCACGATGCTATTGTTGCACCAAACGACACAAAATGTAGCTTTTTCTAAGAATTGTATTTTTGCATCGCTATTGGACTCCGTTACATCAATCTTGAGTATAGTCGTCTAAAGATGGCCCGGTGTTTATTAGTACAATCTATGTATATGTTACTGTTTCAACACAAGTCGCATTCGCAGAAGTAGCGCTATTATAAGTCTAAATTAGCACGTATGTTGGTATGGTTAAGGCCTGATAGTGACGTCATTAATGGCGACACGTTAGGAATACGCCAGCGCTATGCTGGCATGCCAGGCTATCGACCATAATTCCACACCTGTAGTGTTAAGGTTCATTCGTTTTTACACCCAATCTCACGCTGATAGCTAAAGAGTAAGAAGTTCTGACTAAGAAGTTTTATATTCAGTGCATCCAAGCAGTAGTTCTACTCCCACTCTGTAGGGGTTCCACAGTTATCTAATGGGATTTTCTGAATTAGAATACAAAGCGACTCATCCCAATGTCTCAGGGAAGCTGGTTTTACGGAAAGAACCTGATCCGGCCTGGTCTTATAGCAAGAGGCATCTTAGGCCAAACATGAATATTTATATCACTAAGAGACAGGTAATATTTCGTCCAATAGTATCCTATTGAAGAAAGCCAAAAGCTAGAGATTTTCATTTTAAGGACAATTTAGATTTTTAAAAATAGTTTTTTTTTAAATCAATTCTAAAGACTTGTTAATAAAAAGACTTGCATTAAAAAAGTAAAACATAATTTATAGAATAAGGGTCAAGTGAATCTGGCGGCCCATGGATATATCTACATTTATTGTCGATTAAGAATAGAAATGCAGATGTGTTGTCACCCTTGTGGACTAAGATGGAATGCCTCGTTTCCAGTTAAAAGGGTATGAGATGGCAGCACGCGTGAAATATGGCACAAAAAGAAAAAAGGTAGTTTGGTACTAGCCTGTCTAGCAGATGTCATTCTGCACTTTTCGGTAGGTGGTTTGATGATTTTTACGTCAAATTCACTTCGGGATGTTTATAATGTAAATTAATAACTAGGTCATAGATATTGGGCCTAGATTTTGTAAGTTTCCTACTCTTCTTCTTTGTAAGGCACTATATTATTAGAATCAGATTAAATGTAGACCTCAACTCTGTTTTCAACGACCTGACAACCAAGAACGTGATTTCCAACAAATCTTGACCCCCTTTTGATATTTACGTTTTTCGTTGGCTATCATTAAGTTTACCTATTTTAAAGTGTATTGCGGGCACCAATGTACGAATGTAAGATTTGCCATTGTTAAAGGTTATATGGAGAAGAATAAGAAGTACAGAAAGCTAAAATTTATTATATCATGTGTTACAAGAACAATCAATAAAATAGAATAAAATAAAATATGCATTGTTTACGTTGATACTGCCAATGTAATAAACAGGTTAAAAGATAACACGATACTGGTAAACAACATTTGTATTAGGCGAACTCTATTCGCTATTTAAAAATGAAACAAAATTATTCAAAAATCACTTTATATATGTCGCGATTAATAAGGCTGATTCACTTAACATCTGAGACAACGAGGTTTGTCCGTTACAGGTCCATAGAATCTGGTGCTCGTGTCTTTACTTTTGTTACCGCAATCTTCACTTTCTCCGTCACACGAATTATCTGATTCTGGTTCACACTCAAATTTCTCTTCACATTTTTCCATACAATTTTCACTGTTTTTACCGTTTGTGAGTTCTTTGCATTGATCTTGACATTCGTCGTTTGCTTCACAGTTAATTTCGTTTTTAAATCGAAGCAAGGTTTTTATTACTGGTGAAGGGGTTTTATTCGTGAAAGCTCTTAAACCATAGTTGCTTCTGTACCTATGCAAGTGACTTTTGTGCTTATAAATTGGTCTTCTGTTGTATCTATTTTTGGTAAGCTCATATTTTCTAGGCCCTCTTTTTTGTGGTGGTGAATTCTAGAAATTAGAAAAATATAATTAAAAGACACTAAAATTGTTTCTCAATATATTATTACATATACTGTAGCTCTTACTTAGGTTTGCTATATGGTGGCCGGTGTAAAAGAACCCATCATCCCATTCGCCTCACGGGTGTAGTAAAAAATGACTTTAGGATATGTCGTAATGATCTCAAGACTACCTATTCACGGCATTGACGATATTAAAATGACTGTCTCCCTTAGGCTAGGCGTGAAATACCCAGTCAACGGAAAACAGCGACAAAAGTGCGTAACGTCTGTTATTGTGATTGTAATTTATCTTCTAAGGGTTTCAATTTTGACGAATCTTCACTGCAATGTGAGAAGCCCATGTCTGGCAGTGGACTCGTAAGAGCCAATTAAGAATAAGAAAAATAAATTTAATTTATATCGATATTCTGCTCAAAATTTCATAATATGAGCAACCGATTTATTAGGGCATTACAAAAACCGTTACTTGTTATCCTAAGTGCTTATTTAACATATGAATAACAGTAATAATATAATAACATTATGATAAATTCCACATGTCATAGAAATTAAAAATATTTCAAGGGCATAAAAAGTTCTGAATTCGCACTAAAACGGTTCGACGGACAACTACTTTCATAATAACCTTTTTTTTTTCAGTAGTGTGGAAAAAATTTATGAGAATTCATTACATTATTACTATGAGTATAGTTAGAGGTGACTTATAGGAAATGCTACAAAATATTTAATGAATTTTGATAGATGGTGGTCAAATCATTTCTTAACGCAAACCGTTGACTTGGAACAACTTCAAAAGTGCGTGACGTACAGTGGTCGTAAAACCGCCTGGCAAACCTAACGATTAAGGTCTGCAACAAGAAAGACTGTCCGGCAGTGAACAGTACGAGGTGATAAAGTAAAAGATGAATTCTAAAGAATAAATATAATCCTGTACTAGGGCATATAAGCGGGAAGTATGTAGGCTATTAATTTATGTATTTATGATTGCTCGTATCTTCATTACAGGATTCTAAAATATTCTTAATCTTATCTTATCTTATAATATATCTGTAGAGAGTAATTAATTATTTCAGATAGTATTTAAAAGCTGTCTCTTTTCCAATGAATAGTCAGTGTGATACCCATTATCCTTTTAATATACTGCATTCGAAATGTTTGCATTGTAATTTATTGAAAACATATTTGATAAATTTAATTAATTAAAATAAAGGACCAAACTAAAAAAATATTGACAAATGTTGTCATATTAACCATGGTTTTCTTAATCATAAATTGTAATAACTTAACTACTATTTCATCAAGAGCCTAAGTAGTAAAGCGTATTGTGTCAGCTTAACAAAACTTCACTTTTTTCTTGAAGTCACCCTCATTGCAATCAATTGGAAAATAGATGCATGCAAAATATTTCACTCCATTGATGTACGTATTATTAATCAACTAATAAATATAATCAAAAGCTGCATTTGTTGTTGGGTTTTTGCAAATAAATCTATCTGTTTTTTATCAATTTTTTCTTCAGATTAGACTTATATATGTTAGCGGCCAAACTAAATTTCAGGTCAAACTAGTTTGTCCTAGGCCAAACCGGTTTATTCGACGTGAGTCAGGACATACTAGTGTAGCCCAGGGCAATCGAGTTTGGCCTTGGCAAAATTGATTGAATCATTGCATAATCGAATCTAAATCTAACCTAATATTGACCTGAATTTACTTCTGCAACGGCTTCGGCGCGGCGGGAAGTGCAACCCCTACGCCCGAGCGTAGTAAATCGCAGGCACCCAGGCTCACCTCCCCAGCTTTGGCTTATTGGTCACCTTCGGCGACCAGCCTCAGCCACTGTGGCCCGCACAGGTGCCTGCGATTTGCTACGGCAGGCGGGGGCTGCTCTCCCCCGCGCCTACGGCTTTACAAAAACACTCTAGGGGTAGGGCAGACAAGACTACGTAGAGTCGGGGCGTGCTCATTAGGTTTTAGAACGGATTAGACAGATAGAAAAAACAGTGTAAAAGGTCAACCCTCACCAACCCCTAAACTAAAAACTAAATTAATATCAAATAGTGGACATCTATAGCCAACTCAAACTTGTAAGATTCCTTACACAATTTAAGAATGAGTAAGAATTTAAGACAATCTAAAACAGTTAAGACCAATTACTAAAATACACAACACATTGAAAATAGGAATGAAATTATTTTCATTTATTCAGTTCTTCCTCGGCAAAAATAATTAAGCCTAGAGTATTTAGGCTAAACTGGATTGTCTTGGGCTAAGCTAGTATGTCTGACACGAGTTAGATAAACCGATTTGGCCTAGGACAAACTAGTTTGGCCTGAAATCGGGATTGGCCGGTAATATATATAATATGATATAATTATATAATATATTCCTACCTCGCTTTGAAGTAAGTATACAGATGGTATAACTTCGTCGTCCTTTTCATGACTTGTCGCTAACAAGCTGCTGGGTTGCAAAGGATAGCGTGGGTTTTCTTGTAAGCTGTTTTTGTCAATGATAACAACGAGAGGTCTGTTGCTTTGTAAAGCACTTCGATAGAGACGACTAAGAAGTCCGGATAATTCTTCAGTAGCGACAACATTGCTGCCCTATCATACAATATAATACTTTATTAAAGTGCTTCTTTTTTGGTTCAAGTCTACATTACAATGTATGGGCCGCAACATTCATTTACTATCAGGTGGAATGTATATATGTGAATGAGGTTTTAGTCGGTGCGAGTCCGACATAACCCGTCCTTGCCTCAGAGAGGCGGGTATGCGGGTATTTCCCTACTTAAGGTTGTGTGCCCGATTTGTAAAAAGGACAGTTCATTTCAATGTACACTTACATTACCATGACTCGTAAAACCGATCTTTGATTAAGAATCAAAATTCAAATGCATTGTCATTAATGAGAACTAAGATGGAATACCTCGTTACCAGTAAAAAGGATTCTGCGGTTCTCTACGTTCACTATACGAAACACAGTAGTATTACGCTGATAATTTACGATGGTGTTCTATTAGAGCGTGTTCCTTCTCTGGTCGAGCCGACCAATTCTTTTTGCAGCCATAATACAGCTGCAGCGTACCTCTACTCTGTAAATCTAAAGATGATAGAACTCCTTTTTCGTCTAAGTGTCCATCTGGATAGGTACTACTTTTATCAACTCTGCTACCAAATTACAGTGCTTGCACTGTTGGCGGCAGTCTGAAAGGAATCAAGCGGCAGTATAATTATAGGCTGGGCATTTCATGTTAGTCCTCAGACCTAAAAAGTTACCTATAGACATCTTGGTTTGAAGTTAGCTGCGGGTTACCCATGGACTGCATTATCAGGTGATAGGAAGTGGCTACTGCAAGTTCATTTGTCGCTTCAGTTTAATAAAAAAACACGCTGCATGCAAAATTACGCAGTTATTAATAGATGGTTTGTTTTTAATTTGACACGAAATAAAACTTACACTTAATATAAGCGAGCACAGGATGTGAAAATAAAATGTCGTCAAAAGCATAGTAGTTCAGGTTTCAAATATTCTGTTTGAAGAACTAATTTGAAAACAAAATAAGCATTTCGTCCAATACTCTCAAATTAAATTCCGCTTCATTGGTTTTAATCAAAGCGTTTATTGTACTTTAATGTAAGGTTTATAGTTTTAATTAATTACTAAGATAATATGACCGCTTAGGGTTTAGCTAAGACGTCTGAATAACTGGCTTCTGCTTCTCGGGTTCTGTATTCGAATCCCAGTTTGAGAGATTAGGGTGAGTGTCTGAGGTAGTATCAGGCTTTTTTTCTGTTAAGCGAATGACGGCAATAAACACTTTTTACTGATAATAAGGCATTTGTGCACGTGTATGCACCTTTATTTAGATTTTTAATCAAATTTAACGGAAGGTAATTTATATTATTATCTATAATCTAAGCTTGGGTTGCCATAAAAGAACCGTTTCAAATATAAGGTTAGGTAAGAGAAGTGTGGTACGTATTATGGGGACGTAAAAGAGTCTATCTCCCCATTTTGTTCCGGGTTTGTAATAAGGTGACTATGCAAAATGCAAAAAAGATCATATGGCTTTTTATAAATGGCATGGTATTACCATTCCGTTTAAGTCAGGCGTAAAATAACTAGCCAAAGAAAGTTACGTGGTAGAGCCAAGCTGCAACTTTATTGCAGAAATAGGTCGGCTTGACTGCGGAAGGACCACGCTTTCACAGTATAATAGCGTAAAATTGCAGTCTAAAGCTGCTGTGTTTTGTATGATGAGTGGAGAGAACCGGAGAATCATTTTACTGAAAACGATGCATTCCATCTTATTCTTATTCCATATAAAAAATCTTGGCAGAATCTACTCTGCGGTAAGTAAATTTTGGCTTCTGTAATATCCGTCGTACTAATATTTGGGATAAAACACAAGTTGCTACTTTCTGGTCTAGTTCTAAAGTCTTAAAAATTTTGGTAGGTATACATGTAACATCGATGAGTTTATCTTGTGCCTTTAAATTTATTTAATCATTACTTTTTAGTAAAAGATTTGGCGAGAAAAGGGGTAAAATGGGGTGCTTTGGGGGGGTTTTTCTTTGTTTACGCTATTTTGTATTATCTTCTTATACTCCAATTGCTGTCCGTTGGTCTCGCAAAAACTCGTAAACAGCTAGACCAATTTTGATCAAATTTTTTTTGGGTGTTTGAGTGGGTACTCATTTTTTTATAGAAGAGGGGGCAAACGAGCATGCGGCTCACCTGATGTTAAGTGACTACCGCCGCCCATGATCAACCGCAACACCAGGGAAATTGCAGGTGCGTTGCCGGCCCTTTAGAAAGGAGTAAGCTCTTTTCTTGAAGGTCGCCAGGTCTTATCGGAGCGGAAAAATCGCCGGTGGTAAACTATTCCACAGAGAAGTTGTACGCGGAAGAAAACTCCTTTTGAAACGTACTGTGGTGGACCGCCAAGCATCCAGGTGGTGTGGATGTTATCGGGACGTTTGCCGCGTAGTGCGTTCACGAAATTTGGCGGCTGGGATTAATCCGAACAATTCCTCAGAGCACTCTCCATGGTATATGCGAAATAAAATGCAAAGAGATGCAACATCTCTTCGCAGTGAGTGAGTCGAGCCGATCGGAAAGCACTCGGTCGTCGACGATTCGAGCCGCTCTGCGCTGGATGCGGTCAAGTGGAAGGAGCTGGTACTGGGGAGCCCTAGCCTAGAGATGGGAACAGGGAACAGTATTCCATGTGCGGCCGAACCTGCGCCTTGTAAAGTTGCAGGCGGTGTGCCGGCATGAAATACTGTCCCGCTCTGCTGAGCACGCCAAGCTTTTTAGAGGCCAATTTGGCCTTCTCTTCCAAGTGACCACGAAACTCCACGTCACTCGATATGTCAACGCCGAGGATTCCGATACTAGCGGTTAACGCGCAAACTTGTGTCTTCTGGGGGGTAAACTGGACTAGATTTAGTCGCCCCCAATCCGAGACTCTGTTCAGCAAAGACTCGACTTCAGACACACGTTTGTCCCGGCACTCGGAGACGTTTTCCCGAGAAATATTGGCTCGGTCGGTGTAAAGAGCATCACCAGTGCTGTCATCTGCATAGCAATGAATGTTACGGGTTTGCAACATATCATTGATATGCAGAAGAAACAGCGTTGGCGATAGCACGCAGCCTTGTGGAACACCAGCATTAATAGGCTTGCAATCGGAGCTTGCACCGTCTACAACGACCTTGATGCTCCGATCTGCAAGAAAGCTGGTGATCCAATCGCACAATTTCTCGGGAAGCCCATAGGAAGGGAGCTTCGAAAGAAGCGCTTTGTGCCAAACCCGATCGAAGGCTTTCACAATGTCCAAACTAACGGCCAATGCCCCCCCCTTGGACTCTACTGCCTCCGCCCATGTGAGTTAGGTAGACCAGAAGATCACCAGCTGACCGACCACGGCGAAAACCGTATTGGCGGTCACTAATCAGCTGGATTGGTGCAGTTTACAATGGACTCCATTGTTTTGGAGAACAAGGAGGTGATGGCGATAGGCCGGTAGTTGGACGGGTCCGAGCGGTCGCCTTTTTTAGGGATCATTTGGTGGCGCTAAAATCGCAATCAAGAAATCACTCGTGCGAATCCGAGGCGGATCGCTATTATGCTATAAAATTATTACTATATTTTATTGCACAGTTAATAAACATATGTCTTATAGTGGCTATGTATGAGAATACACTATCCCATACCATCTTGTAAGACTAAAGAGGCAAACTTTCTTTACGTGGTAGAGCCACGCTGCAACTATTTTATTGTTTTAGCAAGAATGTGTTGGCTCGACCGGGATAAGACCACGCTCTCACATAATACCAACGTAAAATAGCATACTGTGTTTCGTTTGGTGAGTGTAGAGAACTGGAGACTCTTTTCACTGGAAATGAGGTATTTCATTTCAGTCCTCACGAGTAACAACGCACTTTTGCATTTTGATTCTTAATCGAGGATAGCTGTAGATGTCTATAGGTCACAGAATCCACTTACTATCTGGATTATGTGCTTGTTTGTCTTCTAATTCTATTTAAAAAAAAACTGCAACAGTAACCGGACAGTTACATCTTATTAAGAAAAATTGCAGATGCTAATTTGCTTGTCAAGCGTGGCAACTGAGCGAACTTATTAGAAAATCTTTGGGGAAAACCTATGATTAGCAGTAGATTTTGACAGACTATAACGATAATAATGATGATGTTGACATCATCATTATTATCGCCGTGTTAGAAATATTCATTCATTTACATGGTAGAGCCATGCTGCAGTTATATTAGTAGTATAAATGATGTTACCATCATCATTATTATCGTTATAGTCTCTCTTTCTCTCTCTCTTTTTCTCTCTCTCTCTTTCTATCTCTCTCTCTTTCTGTCTATCTCATGCTTATGCATGAGATAGATGGAAAGAGAGAGAGTCAGATGTAAAAATATCTAGGAGTTTAGTTAGGCGCACATTACACACTCATGCAGGCAGTTTTACAACAATCGCGGTTGTGATTGACAAATAACCTACCGTGCAATGCAGTAATTGACGCCTGCATGAGCGCGTAATGTACGTCAGTCATCATCCGTTTTTTATCATTCATGATTGATGGAATTGATTGATGCCTGCATGAGCACATTCTGATGTAGGCGTCAATTAATATACGCCTTAGAGATTAGGTTTCATTTTGCAACGGGGCATCTGAAAACTTAAGAATAATAATAGGTACCTAATAATGTCTTTCAGACCGAACTCTCGAAGATTCGAATCCGGAACTACACCGCGATCATTAGCGATTATGACCATTATATCAACAGGACAGTCAAGAAGCTATGATTCTATTGCCTGGAACTCCTCCTCCTCTTTCGTTCCTATTACCGTTACAACCTATTTAAGTCTACTGCCGAACATAGATCTCCCCATAGAATGCCTCATAAGGATGTATATTTGCCATAGTTGCCACGCGTAATGTGCGGGTTGGCAACTACAGTTTTTTTATCATTTTTAGGAAGACACTGCTGCCCATCTTCTAATTTGATTTCCTCTGTCGCCTCTTACGACACCCACGGTATGATATTGTTTTTTTTTATAGGATAGGATGAGCACAATACACACAACACAAACGAGCACAAAGCCCACCTGATGGTAAGTGGTTGCTGTGGCCCATAGACATCTACATCTATCCTCGATTACGAATCAAAATGCTGATGCGTTGTCATCCATGAGGACTTAGGTGGAATGCCTCGTTTCCAGTAAAAAGGGTCTCCGGTTCTCTACACTCCCCATACAAAACACAGCAGCGTTAAACTACTATTTGACGCTGGTATTCTGTGAGAGCGTGGTCCTTCCCCGGTCGAGCCGACCCATTCGTACTACAACGAGTATACTACTAAAATAACTGCAGCATGGCTCTACCACGTAAAGAAGGTAATGAATATTTCATGACATGAATATTTCTAACACCGCCACTACATAATTACGTAAACGCGTTATAATTTATATAATTAGTTTCATTTAATGTGTGGAATTTGCGTTAATATAATAAGTCACTGATTTCTCATATTAATTATTGTGGTATGTGTCATATTAAAAAAGGCAAAAATAAAAAAAAATAAAAAAGGACTTCTACTCCTTCTCCACATTATATAGTCTACTTGCTTGCCACGCAGACTGGTTGCGCGGAAAACCATTCGTATTTATTTATTTGACGGTAGGCTTGCCAAATCGTTTATCCCTTTCCAAACGATATCATTCATACCCTCCTATCGACACATCGGGGTGGTGGGGTGGGAGGGGAAAGAAGATGATTCTAGAATATTACGCAATCATCGCAACCGAAGGAATAAAAGGCACGCACGGCCGACGCGCGCGCTCTTCCCGCCGCGCTCGTCGTTGGAACCACACCGCCTAGGATAATAGTGTCCTAAAGAACTCTTGCCCCACGCGCACCGCTAGTATAACCGCTTAGCCTGAAGCAGTCGAGCTCGACCGGGGAATTGGACTTCGGTAGCCTTAAGCTCGTCGCTCCACCACAGACGTTGTCCTGCCTTTTACGACGACCCTTTGTCATTTCCCACGAAAAATCCTTAAATTCGCAAAAAAAAAAATTGTGGGTCACTCATGGGCAAATAAAACTATCCTATCTCTCAAATTGGACCAAACTGCACACGGTGTGCAAATTTGATTAAAATCGGTTATGCGGTTTAGGAGTTCATCGCGGATAAACAATGTGACACGTAATTTATATATATATATATATATTAAGATAAACATAATTGAGACTGGAAGTGGCGGTGTATATCCCCTACGTCATATCGTTCCATGGATGTCGTAAAAGGCGATAGAGGGAAACTAACCAGGAGATAGACAGCAGTGTATTCTAATTACCACTAAAAATAATAAGCTGCGGATTACCGGCCTGCCTGTACAGCGTGGCAAATATATCTTTATGAAGTAATTTATGGGGGAGGCATATATAGCAATGGAATTTTGATAGGCTCTCATGGTAGTGATAACATAATTTATAATTTAGAACGGAATCAATGTAAATTTAAAAGTAACAACAATTACAGTTTTAAATATAATTGATAGCTTCACTATAGGTTGTATGTATTGTATTACTTTTAACTGCTTAGTACTTAATGTTTAAGTACTCGGTTTTTTTTTTGAAATTTCATTTAGATACAAATTACATACCGATGAATAAATATTATTTGATCATATTAACATAAAAGAAAAAACTGAACTGGTTATTTGAATAAAAAATTATGAATGCAGTAGTAGCTTTTATTTAAATTTTCGTATTTTTGAAAAATACCATAAAAAGGGGCACGAAATAATAGATTTTCTCACAAAAGAAGGGAAATTGAAAAAAAAAGGATAAATCGGACTGTAAACAGGACGCGAAACAAAGCATTGCGATTTCGCGACAGCTCGATATCCGCCTGAGCTATTACGACCATTAACACAGTGTTAAAATTTACCTTCTTATACTGTAGTAGTTTTTATTTGCCTGAAAACACGGACAAAAAGACATTTTCTAAAAGTACATCCTAGCTAGATCGATTTATTGCCCCCAAAACCCCCTGTACACTAAATTTTATGAAAATCGTTGGAGCCGTTTCCAAGATTCCGATTATATTATAAATATCATTTAGTTATTTTTTTTTTAATTTTTAAACATATTGTGGTTGCAAGCTTTTAATATGTATTAGATATCTGTGGAAACTTCATTGGTTTTAGGATTACTTTTATATGTTTTATAATGTATTTTTATTGTACTGTAGGTTTTCCTTAAAAAGCAAATAAATAAAAATAAAAAAAAAATTTAAACAGTTAAATCCAATCTTAGAATAGCGTAGAGCACAAAGAGATCAATTTTTACTGTATCAAATTATAAATAATGCATTAGATTCTCGTTTCCTCCTGAATCGAATTGATTTTAGAATAACTCATGTTCGAACTCGTTTGCATAATGTATTTACAGTTCTATTGTGTAAAATAATTATGTCAAAAATCTTTTACTAATCGGAGGGCGTACGAAATATATTCAAGTATTTATTTAAGTAGTTTTTCCTTCTTTTCATTGACATTCATCTATCCCTCCATTAGAGTCTATAAAGATCCATTACTAAACATAAGCATACTTCATAGGCTTTCCGTTGCCATGCTTGGTAGGCGGGTTGGTAGACTCAGTTTTTTATAATTTTGAGTTGTTGAATGAAGATGCTGCTGCTATCTCATGTTTCTGTTTCCATCTGTCGCCTCATACGTCACTAACAGGGCCATATAGAGTGGTGGATACACTGTAGCTACAGGTGATGGATTCGTCTCTAAATGGGCAACAAAAGATATTAAAATACGGGAATGGAGGCGAAAAATTTTGTAGGAATGTGCAGCTCGAGGTAAAACCGGAAATGGTGATGGGATCGGTGAGAAGTGACCAGAAACCTGCTATTCGGGGTGAACCACACTCTACAGATATCAGTTTCTATATGTTTTCATGAGCCGTGGTAGCTCAGATGGTTAGGGCTCGCTGTAAATTTTAAAGTACGCGAGCAAACCGGGTTCGATCCCCGCACCAATGATATTGTTAATTGCAATTTTAAGTGCTGATTTATCACGTGCTCGGTGGTGAAGAAAAACATCTTGAGGAAATCTGCATGTCAGAGAAATAAGAAAAATTAATATTTCGAAGACATGTGAAGTTCGCCAGCACGCATTGGGGCAGAACCCTCTCAGAAATGAGCGGAGGCCTATTACTAGCAGTGGGACGTATATAGGCTGTAACTTTACTTACTTTACTATGTTTTCATAACATTTCATCACAACGCGTGATGCATCCCGTAGAAAACGACGCGAACAAGGAGTCCGGCGCCATGTGACGATATGTATATATACGGTTATGATACGCAGTTGGGTGATGATATTTCACGAATTTACCACCATGCGGTGCGGTGCGCGTCCATGTAGATGGCATAAGCAATGCGTTCGTTCTACGCAAACCATGCCCACTCGAATGTCGGGGTCATTTTGGCCAATATGGCGCATCTGTCGAGCACTTTCCGCAGTACTAAGTAAGTTATAACAAGTATATTAAGTATATATATTAAGTAAGTGTATTAAAATCATATATCAATGGAAACGTTATTAAATAAGCTATCAGATTATGCACAACAGATATATATGTTATATATATCATATATATGTTATAAATAGTTTGCTATCACTCCACGCCATATTATGGCGTTTGACAGATGCGCATGTTATTTGAGACGCCAGAATATGGCGTTTGGACATCCGAGGGGATACGGTGATAGTGATGCGTGGCCGCGTGCCTAATATCGCACGACTATTCACTTAAACAGATTTTTACCCATAAAGTCATGACATGCAACTCCCGAGGCGAAACAGAATATGTAAGTTTCTATAAAAGATTTATAATATTAATTAGGCAAACCTTTTTTAGTAAGAGTTATTATACTACTAAAGAGTATATGACTGGTAATACCTGGGTGGATTGAAAAGTACTCGGCCTAACACAGATCCATTCAATTCTAAAAATCAAATCTACCCACATTATTTAGTTCAGTTCAGACTAGTTCATTGTGTGAAGTTCGAAACTTGTGCGATAATTAGTTGTGATTTTATAAATTTATTAACAAAGTAATCGGACATAATTTCCGCGAATGGAGCAAATCGAGCAGCGTGCCGTCATTAAGTACCTCCATAAGAAGGGGCTATCATCAAAAGCCATCCATGATGACATGGTCAGTACATTAGGCGATTGTGCTCCGTCATATTCATCCGTCAAAAAATGGATTGCAGAATTTAAGCGTGGTAGAGAGAGTGTGAAAGATGAACCCCGCTCTGGAAGGCCTTCGACGTCAACTACTGACAAAATATTAAAAAAAGTATTTGAAATAATAATGGGAGACCGCAGATTAAAAATTAGAGAGATAGCCGAGATTATAGGCATCTCTTATGAACGAACTCAAAACATCAATGTCAACGAGTTGGGTTTCCACAAGGTGTCTGCGAGGTGGGTTCCGCGACTGCTTTCAGTTGAACAAAAAAGGACGCGATTGACTATTTCACGCGACTGTTTGGAGTTATTTGAAGCCGATGCAGATGATTTTTTGAATCGTTTTGTTACTATGGACAAAACATGGGTTCATTACTGTACACCGGAAACAAAACAACAATCAAAACAGTGGAGAAGACCTGGTTCACCACCCCCTAAAAATGCTAAGTCGATTTTCTCGGCAAATAAGGTGATGGCTTCAGTATTCTGGGACTCGAAAGGT